GAGAGAGAGAGAGAGAGAGAGAGAGAGAGAGAGAGAGAGAGAGAGAGAGAGAGAGAGAGAGAGAGAGAGAGAGAGACGTGCGTGTGTGTGTGTGTCTGTGTGTAAGAGAGAGAGAGAGAGAGAGAGAGAGAGAGAGAGAGAGAGAGAGAGAGAGAGAGAGAGAGAGTATAATTTGTGATTGTAAGATGAACAAGACATCAAGACCAAGAGGAACGTGTAGGAGGATGGCGAAAGGACGAAGGTGAAAGCGAAAGGAAAAGGACAAAGAAGAGAATGAGGAAGTTTGAACCGAGGTTGACATAACATTTCTACCTTACTCGCTACATGTGTCAACCACAATATCCACCAACTACATCGACAACACTGCGCTGACACCGTAGCTCCCCCTGCACAATAGAAAGCCACGACCATCCATGATGACAACCAACCCTGCGCCCATGCTCTCAATCGAAATGTTAGCCCACTCTTTGCTCAGCGACACTAAGGGCCTCCTGCTCTACCCTCTCTGCTATAACATGGAAAGATACACAAAAGGGTATCCTCCTTATAAAAAAAAGAAGAGAAAGAAAAACAAATCGGAAACCGTCCTGGGACATTAGTGGTGTCCAAGCCCCCTGCAATGCGTCTAGTGCCTTGGCATTGGAACCCCCCCCCGCAACGACCGTCCCTGTCCATCTCCTTACCCACCAGTACTTGGTCTGACTATTGACTGCGGAAAAAAATAGAGCAGAAACATTTATAGTTGGATGAATTTGGGCGCTCTTATATCTAAAGGTTGTTCCCCTACTTCATTTTTTAATGAAATCGAAGAATATGCAGCTTCCTAGCTGTGAACAAATTGACTTACCATGAGGGCACAAGTGCGCAGACTGTAGTTCGTTTGTTGATGTGGTTGGGGAAGGGTACAATAGTGATTATGCTGTGTTTATATTTTGTCATGTTCGCTCTACACAACTCCAAGAGTGTGTGTGGGGGGGGGGGTTCAATTGGTGTTTATTCATGTTGTCCATGAGACACAAAACCCAGTTTCCAGTAGGTGTGGCTCCCCACTAATAGAGAAAAGCATTTTGCCGCAAGTCCACTATAGTGGGATGCTCATATCACCTCCTCTAGTGGGCTGAAGCGGAACTTGTTTGGACGCGACTACTTCATGCTCCCATCCTAGCCTGTACATTCCTTTTGTGTGTCGCATGATGGTTCTCATTTAGCTGGTTCTCCCATAGTTGGACTCTCCCTTGGTATCACATAGGCATTGAGACCAAAGCGTTATCTTAGCTTCCCTTCTCCGAGATTTCGCGTCTTGAGTTGTACGCATGTATCCCTCACCCACTCCCCTGATCATGCTAGTGTCGGCCATTGCATGCCTTCATTTAGGCGTGTCACCCTTTTGCCGAGCATTACCCGCCTTAAGAGTTCATCTACTTTTGCGGATAAAGTATTTGTGGCTGTTGCGATTGATCAACTGCAGGTATGAGGATCATGCAACGGGCCTCTAGTTGCCCAGGCCCACAACCAAGGCTATTTGGCTATTTTGCTTGTTCGCTCTGTGGGACCAGGCCGTGTATTCATTCAGTCCAATCCAGTCCTGCCTGGCACCAATGTTGGTATGAGGTCAGTCCAGTCCATCTCACAGTTGAGTCCAGTCCATTTCAGAAATGACGAGCCTCCATAGATGGGGCAACAGTTGTGCTGTGGGGTCAGAAATGGCGAGCCTCCATAGATGGGTCAATAGATGTGCTGTGGGGTCAGTATGATGTGCTGTGGGGTCAGAGCGGCGGGGTCAGAAATGGCGAGCCTGGCGGCATCGTAGTGCTGTTGGGTCAGAAATGGCGAGCCTCCTTCGGTTCAACAAGTACTTCATTGAGTGAAGACGGACCTTCGGCATATCATCTGCTCACCAAACACAAAACTTGCGTGCTGCGGTTAAGTGGCTCCACGGTCATTGGGCCGGCAACCCCTCCTTGGTATCCATGGATGCCTGTACCGTAGATTTCCTATTCGGTGATTTCCTACGGTGGATAACCTGTTTTGCTCTTTTGCTATTTTTTTCTTTCTGGCTTTCTTTAAAATTTAAATACCTTTTTGACATTTACTTGTCCCTTGCTAGATTAGGTACTGCAATTCCCTGTAGTTGTTTGTCAACAATTTAGCAGTTGGTCTCTCTCTGACTTTTCACTGAAGCGAGACCCCAGCTTAAGACAGAGGGCGTTGTTAGACACTCCTTGGGGACGTGAAATCCACAAGGATGCGCTCGTTCCACCTGTCCTTTGGGTGACGAAATTGAAAAAGAAATGTGAAAACGTCACAAGGAAAATTCCTCGTGAGGTCCCTTGGGCACAAGGAATCCGCGTTTCACGGAGAGGAGAGGGCACACGGGTAGATAGACGTTACAGCTGAGAATCTGGATCGCGGTGGCACCCTATTGGCTGAAGGCCTGAAGCACAACTGTTTTTTTCTTTTCTTTTCTTTTCTTTTTCTGACATCAGTCTTAGGAAATGTCCTCGGCCGACGTCCCCCAGGATAGGTGGAACGAAGAGCCCAAATTCCGTTACGAGCCACAAGGAAAATTCCTTGTGGCGCAAGGAACTCACAAGGAGTGTCTAACGACGCCCAGAGTCATTTTTAACATTTTCGGTACTTCTTCATCCCCCTGTAGCTTTTCCCTTATTCCCCTCTTTTTCTTCCTTTTTCTTTTTTGTCCTTTTTTTGTTTTTTTTTGGTTTTGCACCGAGCTGTCACAGGGGAGGGGCTCCACCTCATGAAGTAGGTTGGCGACCTTACCTCTCCTGAATCTGGAACCTGTCCCATTGCATTTTGTTTTTCCTTTAAAAAACATAATAATAATAATAAAAGTTTGGCCTTGGGCACTGGGCCCTAATAAAAAAACAGCTGCCAAGGGCCACTGCGCCCCCCCTCCAGGTAACGAATGACTTGGGGAGTTTTAGACCCCCAATCTGGGTGGAACATGGGCTGTTATGGTGACAATCAAGACACACACACACACACACACACACACACACACCAAAGAGACGGACAGGTAGGTATTGACTTAATTTGACTATTCAGTCACACAAAAGAGCGGGCATGGGGGTGACAAAGCCTTTTTGTCCTAACAATATCCTGTTACGAGTCTTACGACGGTTGTGCGATAATGCTTCCACTTTTTCCACTACCCTCCATCATTTTCGGAATCAAGAGAGGGTGTAGAGTGAGCATGCAAGTAGCCAGGAGGGTCTGTCATAGCCAAGTGTGAGTCAGTCTGAACACGACACGACAACTTCTCTATACCACTAAAGGAAACAGCGGTCCTCGTGTGGGGCCCAACAGAAACCGGCGGCCGCCGCGCGGGACCGCTGTCGAGCAGTGGGCACAGGGGAACTGACGGCGCGCCGGTGTCGGGAACCGGCCGCAGCGAAAAAGGGCGACCCCCCGCCCGACAATGGGAGCACATACATTGCCACTTTTTTGCTTAGCGATCCGTCCGCCGTGGGGGACTGCTGTCGGGCAGCCGGCAAGGGGGAACGAAAAAGGACGACCCCGGGCCCCAGAACGCAAGTACATACATTGCCACTTTTTGGTTTCGCCACCCATCAGCCGGTTCTTTCCAGAAAGGTCGTGAGCCGCGTTCTGTGGATGCGAATCCATCACGGGAAGGAGGGAAAATACATTGCCATATTTTCTTTTTGTGATATCGTGACCGACCCGTCAGCAGGTTCTTTCCAGAAGGGTCGCCAGCCGCTTTCTGTGGATGTGGGAGGAGCCGGGGGTAGCGGAGTTGGATGATATATATATATATATATATATATATATATATATACAGAGAGAGAGAGAGAGAGAGAGAGAGAGAGAGAGAGAGAGAGAGAGAG